TTTTTTTTTAAACAGCCCAAAAATTATAGAGAAACTTATGAGTGGGATAGACACAATTTTCAAGATGGAGGATCTCCGTTTGCGTTCAATTTGTACCATAGACTAATAGAGTTTCGCGTGCCTGGACGGGACTCTTGACTAATTAGATACACAAACTTAGAATAAAAATTGACATTTTCAATGCTAGCAATATTATGAACAATAGACTTGTTGCTACCAACCTAAAAAAAATCAATCTGTCAGTTTCCTTTTAGACGTTTGAAAGTATTATTCGAGGGAAAACAATTTTGGAAAAATAAAACAATTTCGTTAATTGCAACTTGATTTAATCTTCCGACTAAAGCGAACATATTTTAAGAACGCAACATAATGCTCATTGCTTTCGTAATAATACCATTATTGTTTAGTTCACCAACAAAATACCCCAACTTTGATAAATGCTTATTTGTTCCAGTTTGTTTATTTGATAGATCATATTTTCTGATAGAACTGGAGTAGTAGTGCCACTCTCGTCGGGAGAAATAGAATAACACTGGAAAGATATTAGCTCCTATCTGTTGGTAAAATATTTAGAAAATTGCTAACAAGACAATATGCATTGAAGCAAAACAAATCGTCATCATCAAGCTCACTATACGGACACACTATACTCCACAGAGGAGCTCGGAGCCTACCCTCAAGAATGCGACTAGGTCTTATTCAACAACGAAGAGTCAGTAAGGGTTGGTTGACTTCACACATATCTTTGAATTTCTATGCAGTTGTATGCAATTTGTAATTACAGTAAGAATGTCGGATGAATGTTATCATGAAATTCGAAGAACTCATTACTATATAGCAGAGATCATACCTGGATATGTAAAATATGATCCGGTCAAGCGCCAACTGCACTGCCGACGCTCCAAATAGTCCCCTAATCCAAACTTTTCCTATCAAAACATTGCAAATGTACAAGTCATGTTAAATATTATGTACTGTAAAAATAGAATACAATATTTAAGTTTTACTTCTCAAATAAATTCATAAAATTATCATGAACCTAAGGATTCCACATTTTAACTCTTTTGTTATTACTATTCTCCATAGATGTGTAACCTATAGATTCCTTAACGAGGAAGAATAATGAGCTTAGGAGGCATCATTTTGGGGAAAAGTACCTGTGTTGAAATTTAAATTACTTGTAAGAAAATTGTATACAATCTATGTTTATTTTTTATTACTTAGTTCAAAAAAAGTTTAAGATATTATATATCTTGTGATATGTTGTGATATTTGTAAAATCCAAATTTAATAAATTAATTTTGTTTCAGATTTTTCACTAAATGGTATTTTTTTTTAATGTTTTGTACTTGATACTTAATTCTCTATATTTTAGTATATTTTTATTTTCTATACACTGCATTTCCCAATTTCGAGAAAATCTTATCATATTAGTGTATATTTTATATTAAAGTCTAATACATATTTTTAAAAATTGTCATAATATTAACATCAAACTAATATAAAACACTAAATTATAATATAAATAATGTATAGGTTACACATCTATATATCAATATTGACATTAATATAGTTACTAGCATTTCCTGCAACATGGTGACTCTTTTTTAGATTTGCGGTTAAACTACTCCATATAATAAGTTATTTTTCAAAATTTAGTTTAGAATTACAATATTTCAAGCAATCAAACTTTGTAACACAGATGTTGCAGCGACATGCAGTCAGTAATTCTGAAGCAGATTCCTTCATTTAATAATTCTGTAGAACTTGAAGAGGTGCAATCATTCATCTGCAACAGTATGAAATGGTAATTAATTGGTTCAAGTCTACAACATAATCAATTTAATTATTGCTTTTCACCTAATTACATACCTTATTAGAAAAAACTGGTTTTCTTTGATTATATAGATTTCTCCCCATTTACTTACAAAACTTCTTTGAAATTCAATACAATGATGGAACTCACAAACCATGTAAAAATGATGATTAGTTTTTATAGGTTTTTATAGGAACTTTTATTGCCTGCCCATTTTTGTGAAATGTCTATGATAGAATCATAAATCAAATTAGTTTGAAAAACTTGTCATGACATGACCAATTTACAGTTTGATCTACAATATTTGAAACAATAATAGAGATATTCTACACACAACCTAAATAATGTTTAAGTTAATTTTTATTATTGAATCTTTCTCATGTTTTGAGCAAACCATTTTATACTAAATATCAAGCCAATTTAAAAAAAAGTAGAATTTGGCATATGTCTTGTACTTACTTTTATGTTATTTTCATCAATTTTTGTTGTAAATTTACTTTTCAGCAATCGGCAAAAGGTCATAAGTTCTAGTTCAACACTTAGTTCTTTTAAATATGAATAGAATGTAAAATTTTATCTTTATTCAAATTCTATTTCTGTGAATCCATTGATTATGTTTTCTACTGCCTTATACTTGTTTCACACCTAAAAACAGAAAGTATTAAAAATTGATAAGTTGTTCATACAATGTTCTTCCTTTGTAGTTAATTATATCTGTAAAGCTTATTCTTATAATTTAAATGATGATGAAAGAAAAGTTATAAACACTGGGACAAGACATTAAATGTTAAGCATTTCATTAAAAAATATATTAAAAATAAAAACGCCTAAGTCGTACATATGCTTCCTCTTCCTAGTCTGATAATAATAATAGAAGACAATTCCTACCCGACAACCCAAAACAGAAAGGGTTCACAATTTTTTTTATTGATGCCACACTGAATGAGAACATCAGGAGGTACTTCAAACAAGCTGCCATACTCTCTGACTGCCACTAGGATTTTATTTAACGGATTTGATGGCGCATGGTTCTTTTTAAATCTGTGAAAAAAATCAAAATAACATTGTATTATAGTGTCCATGTTCAATTGTAAGTTTACATAAGATTCATAAAAATTATAGTAAATAAGAGTAAATAATTAAAACAAATATCATTTTTTTCTTTGACAGAATAAAAAAATCTTACTTATGCGAATGTTTACATGGACGGATGTTTGCTACAAGTTATTTTCTGAAC